ACATGCGACATGCGTCATGCGTCATCACTAATGAAACATAGTCAGAAGTTCAGAGGTTAAAAGAAAGTTTCCAGCTCTTAATAAAACAAGTCACTACAAATCCAGTAATCTGGATTATTTCCCCTTTATTATTTAGCTACTTGATCTTGTATCAGTGCCAGTTTCGTTGTACAGGTTACTCAGATTACCGGTCAGTCAGATCATTTGAATGTTATGCTTTTCTCAGACCTGTGTTCCCTGCTGTTGCGTAAAAATGTGTTTGCATGTACAGTAACAGGTCTACAGAAGAGTCATACTTACACAGACACATTTCCAGCACATCAGTCGAGACCTTTATTGACTCACATGAGGAAATGAAATGAAAAAATAAAACACAATAAAACGGTGGAGCACAAAAATGATCAAACGGTAAATATTAAATATGATAATTTAGTGCGTGTTAAGTAAAATAGACTTTTTGATAATGTTAGCGTGTGGTTCAGGCTGAGCTGTGTGTGTTAGCTGTAACTCCTCTGGGTAGTTGAAGGGTTTGTGACGACATGTACTTTAAATGTGGGTCTAAAACTCAGCATGTCGGCAAGGTAAGTAAACGCCTCCGACTGTGCTGTTCCTGTGTTGTAGGAAACCCTGTCGCTCTGATCATCTTCAGTTCACACAGTGCCGTTATCCTGACCGATGAAGTCCAGCAGTCCAACAGTCTCGGAAATTGTGTTGGATATTTTCTTTCATTTCATAGACTAAATGATTAACCAGTTAACTGACCAATTACTGATGATGAAAATAATCATAAGTTGCAGCCATAACTCTTACAGATTGTTCTTATTCTTGGCAGTAATTATTTGCTTGGTGGTTATTTTATGTACAGGCAGATCTCTGAATTCAGAAAAAAGATTTATTTGGCTCGGTTCACTTACGTCAAATTACTTATTATTATTTCTCACTCTTCTCTAGTGGTATCTTGACACTACTTTTGGTTTATTTAAGATGAATGGAATTTAATTTGCTCTAAAAATGGCGAAAAACATTAAACTGCAGCATCACTTTCTAGAAACAATGTTCACATTATTCAGGATCATCCACAAAATATGCTGTCAGTCGTTTTTACAGGGACTATTTCTTCTATAGAAAGTAGTTCCAATGAAGACCGTTTACAGTTACACCGCTGTCCTCTATGTCATCATCAAACATCAAACAGATGAGGACACAGTTTTACTGAGTTTTACTGAGAGAAAGCCAAAAGGCAAGTTGCAGCTGGTTCTTCAGTAAAACCACATTTGGTGACTGTGCCAGATGCTCCTGTGAGTAATCCAGTTGCACATCCCAGCCGGGCAGTTTCACCACGAACTGTGGTCTAATGTCCAAATTTAAAGAGTACAAATGTTTTTGTTGTTGTAAATATAATTCTTCCAAACATAAATGTATAAATATCTTAAATAAATAATAAATGAACATGTTTTTTTTCCCCTCCAGGTGTCTAAAGTGGCTGCACTGTTAAGGAAGGTTCTGGAGATCATCAGGTAAGATTCACCCACTGTGCCCACACCCACAACAACATGCAAAAACCCACTGGGATGGTTCTTTTGAGTCCCAGTGCTGAAGTAAAGTTAAAGTGGGTCGATGAAGAAAGGATCAGTGACAGTGGGAACAGCCAGAGAAAAGATGTTGGGTGTGTTAGAGAGAAAGTTTGAGTCATCTTATCAGCAGATCTTATCAGATCAGAGGAAAAACAAAACTCACTTCACTTCCAACCGTGTGTAAATACATTTCCTCTTTGTGGCTGAAGGGGAGTGGGTGATCAGCAGAAATAGGTTTCAGCAAGTACAATATTCTTTCTATTGTCTTTGTTTGTTATTTGTCTTTGTTTTCTTTTTTACACACTCCACTCCTTTCCTCCCTGCACAGGTCCAGTCATGTGTGCGGGGAGTCCCAGCTGACCTGGGTTCAGTTCTTAGAGGGAGCCGTCGATCACAACCTGCAAAAAGCCAAAGACCTTATACAGCAGGACAGCTAGTGTGTGTGTGAGTGTGTGTGGTTTTATGTGCCAGTGTGTGAAATGAATGCCTAGAGTGGTGTGTGAGTGTGAGAGATTGAGTACATTGTTTGTGTTTACAAGCACATGCATGTACAACATATTAGAAATAAAGGGAGCGACTCGTGTCCTCGCATAAGCTCTGCTGTGGAAAGAAGCTTCATTATGTAACCCTGAATACCCCTCGCAGGTCAATAATCTCGTCTACACAGTCTAATCTGCATCTGACTGTTTGCCAAACACAAAAACAACCTGCTCCAGGACCAGTTGTGTTACAGTTTAACGACTGGGTTAATTAAAATAACAAGCACATCTCTTTAATAGCCTTTAATTGATGAGCCTTCAAGGTTAAGAAGACAGAAATTGTGGTTTTGCAGCTTTGTATGTGCCGCCTGAAGGTTTCGCACATAGAGAAGTTCAGGTTGGCAAATATTGAAGGTCCAGTATGGAGGATTTAGTGGCATCTAGCTGTGTAGGTACAGATTGAAACTCCCCTAGTCTTATTTGCAGGTCATTATACACTAATGAAAACATACCTTTGAATTTTATACTACATTTACAGTATACAGTGTTGGCTGACTTTACTGTGAATCAGAATTAAGTCTTCACATAAGAGGAATTTGCCATATTGTACATTGGTGACAACTTGGAGTTACACGTGACATCAACATCAACATCAAGTGTGGTTTATTTCATGAGTTTGAACTACAGACCTGAGACATAAACTAGAGACAACATCAATTCACACTGAAGAACACAAGCGTGTAAAGAGAACTGCGATGTTTGCAGCCACAGAGCAGCACAAAGAAATTATAGCATGAACCTTTGGCAGGATTTCTAAAATTCCTCTGAATGTAATGCAATCCAAAATTACAAACTACGGCATCAGTGGTACCTCAATGGTTTATTTGCTGACGACCTTTCGTTATGAACTGGAAGGAATTCAACCTCATTTTTATATATATTTTTATTAGTGTTTAATCACCTGAAAATAAGAATGTTTTGTTTCCTTAGAATAAGCTGCTTTTATCTACAGGCAACATACACAGCCACTGTAGTTTCTCCTCCATGCTTAGAAAGCTGAGCTGTACTCATAAGGTTGGAATCTGCAGCTTCACTGGTAGATGTCACTGAATATTACACACTTGTAAACAACAGACATTATATACAGAATCTATTCTGAATAGATTATTATAAATAATTATAATTATAACTGAGAGGAGAACTGAATGATACAGCAATAAAATGATGTGTAAAAAGAAAACTACAGCTTGTCGTGTTTTTTGGGGAGAATTTGAATTGAAGATCAAGAAACATTAGTGATCTTTAAAATGTGACACCTTACATGGCCACTTTTCTCGATCTGCTGGAGACTGCAGGGTAAAACTATTAAATTATACCCAAAGAAATAGAGCAATTTTAATTTTTGTGGATAATGCAGAGAAGATGGTGGATGAGGCATCGATTAAGAGTAACTGCTGTGAAAATCATGCAGCACAAAATATGCCCACTTACGGTGTTTCACAATGAGAGAAACATTATGAAACAGATGAAATAAGATGCAACCTTTGTTTTTATGAGAAAAGATTGATTCAATTATGTTTAATGAGTGCATAATGACAATAAGTCAGAAAACCAAGCTTGGCTTTATTTATTTATACATACACATAGGAAACACTCTGTTCTTCTCATTTATTCTCGCTTATGTAATGGACACAACAGAAGGGATGATTTAATAGAAGCCAGGACATTTCATTTCTCAGGACAATATGACATCCAAACTGGACTGGATTCCTGTTCATGTTCACAGTCAAATAAAAACTAATCAATAACACAGAAACCAACGCAGATCAGAACAACTAAGTATATTTATTCTGGCCTTGATTATTGTGCAGTTGATGTTAAACTCCTTGCAAATGTAATATCATCATGTCATTATAAGTCCAGGAATGTAAGAACCCTTGCAGAGGCCTACGCGATTATATATGTCATCATTATCATGTCGTTATTATAAGTCAAGTTGTCAGCAACTACATCAACTAATCCAGAAACTTGTTACTTGAGTCACACTCAGTGAAACAGCCCTGCCCTATCCATCATCGCAAACACACACCTATACACACACCTATACAACACATTCAAGTAACTGTCAGTTTAAAATGATTCAGTGATGATAAAAGTTTTCCATCATTTTCTAACATTACATCACATCACAGCGTCGCTCGCTGTTATTTAGTAGTAAGAGAAGTTGTGTAATTCAAGCTGGAAGCGATCTAACCACAAATCACTGAGGTAATAAGAAGCAGAATACTGTTTATTGTTTTTAAAACGTCACATAATGAGGTCACCAACATGAAAAGGCAACTTTTTCTGCCCAATCTGATGGATTTCTATGACGACAGGAAGTTTTGTTTTTTCAGGTATCTGCACTTTACTCGAGTATTTATTTTTCTGACAACCTTTTACTTTTACTCCCTACATAAAAATTAGGGATGAGCAGGTGTGCCATTATTTGTAACTGTCTCCAACAAACTAAATGATGTGTGTCTGTATACTCAATACAGAAATGGGTGGGAGGTAAGCCTGAAATTGATATGGGTTGGGTCAGCAGTTGCTATAGTTATTAGAAAACTATGAACAAAACAGTCTCAGAATTAACATATTTATAGCTATAATACTATAAAAAAAAAGAACTTAAAAGGTTTATTATTATTATATAATTTGGTGGTTGCTACATCCACCAAAAAATGACGATTTTCAGTACAAGGAAGAAAAGAGATGCTCAAAGATTTTACTTGGAAAATTACAATTTGATTCAAACTTACTAACTAACGATACTAACATGTTCCACAGATTCAGGGAAGCTGAGTAAATCTGTTGAAAAGTCACAAAGGCCTTACATGCCCTTTAAAATAAGAGATAAAATCTGTACGTGTCATTCTTATGTACAAGAAGAAGAGATAGCTGGAAATGAAAAACAACCTTCAAAATGAGCATCTGCCATAAAAGTCAAATACATTTAAGCAAAAAATAATGTTTTATTTATTCAGTACTGATTTTGCTCTACATCTAATAGAGACACTTGTCTTTGATTTATTTTGTCATCTCGGCCGCTCCCTGCTATTTCTGAGTCAAGACTGAGTTTCCTCAACAGTTCAGGACGAACCAGTTTAGTTAATTTTTTTCACTTTGGCTGGATTCACCTGATCAGTACAATACGAGCAACAATACAGTTTATCCTCTGGATTACTGTGTCTGGCTTTCACTTCAGGGTGTAGATGCTCATTACATTTAGTGTTTATCGCCATAAACATTTATATTTACCTATAACTGCTAACACATTTGAGTAGAGGAAGCACCTGCACACACGACACACACTGGTCTAAGACCTGGATCAGATGTTTACATGCCACAGTACCTTGGATGAGTAGCATACAGCAGCCAGTCTAAAATGCAATCGTAATATTAGACATTTGTAACAAGCTAAAGACAGTAAATGCTGTGTAGAGACGACTATAGTCTGATTACAGCCGCATTTACACTGCCAGGAAATGGTTAAACATGGTTGCGGGAGGTGTGTGAGACAGGGTTGGGCTTGGCAGGTCTATTTAAATCAATCAGGGAGTCTTCTGTCAGTGTGCTGTTGACTTGACCAGAGAGCATTTTACTGTCCTTCTATCTGCTGTTGTAAGAGAGAAAGTTCTGGAAAGATGACGGAGGAAGTTAAACAATCTAGTAAGTACCAGCATTTTAGTAACTACCAGCCAGAAGTTTTAGGTAACTTTATCATTGTATGTTGTCCTGTGTGGGTCTCTGCATCCAGTGAGACTAAGTGTATATGAATGAATGAATGAATGAATGAATGAATGAAATGTGTTTGGTTATGTTATGTTTTAAACATACACTAGTAGCATAGTAGAAATACATTTTGGGGCATGATACATTTTAATACAGTTCAATATTCTGTTGGATCACATGTTCCTAGTCACCTTTCTAGGTTTTTAAAAAGGTATTTGCATTTAGAAACAGACCACACACACACACACACACACATACACACACACACAACCACACACACAACACCTGAGGAGAATTCTGGCTCTTTAGCTGCTACATTAAATCTTATCTAAGTGTATCTGTCTGCGGTTTGGTGCTCAGCAGGTAGTGGACAGTGGGCAAACCTTGTTCAGCTGCTTTCTGCTGGAAACAGGACATTTGTAGACTGGAAAACCAAAACGATGAGCAGCAGGTGGCCGTAGAGCCGAGGGCGACTGTTAGGTGATAATTATCTGTCGGTATAAACTGTTGATGAGTGCAGCGTTTAAAACAAGCTGGTTGAAAAGGAAAAGTGGACAGCTGAACTTTAATGTGTGGTTTCCTACTGTACCCGTCCTGTTGTGTCTTGCCCTATTCACACACACATATTTATTCACCACGTAATTCGGTGAGTGTGTTTACATATTTGTACCTGTCACCTACTCTCCACCCTACCTTAGTTTCTGTCGGTTCTTTACACTGCACATTAACCTTCAACGTGCTAAGCCAGTTTGCTGGGTTGAATCTCCACACCTTCAGTTGAGCCCGATGAGCTCCTGCATTACCGGGACGCCTGAACTCGGTAGCCCCTCTCATTATGTAATTATAACGTAATGCATAATGAACTTGACCCAATATATGACTTATTATGGACATTCTTAGGCACACTAGTATATTATATGAAAATATGAAATGCAAAAATAATATTATAAACATTATAAAACCAGTATTTTAAATATGTATATGAATAATGTTGTTTACTCTTTGTTGGTTGTCTGTCTGAATATGTGTTGTGTATGCACTGATGCCTTTACACAAGTAAAGTTCCTAACTGATAAAGTTATTTTGATTTGAATGTATCCAGTAAGCCTGGTTTTGATGCTTTATGAAGTTCAGTCATGCAAAAATATGTATATATTGTTGTTGGTTTTTTTTACAGTTCTTTGTAAGACACTATAAAAATTGCATGATCCATATTTGATGTTTACCTTGTACACAAGTTTTGGACATGGAAGAGATCGTCATGGAAACATTAAAGCACCCATTCAGTCAAAAATGTTTTTCCTCTTGTTCCTACGGTGTGATGTCTGTGCAGTTTGACACTTGAAAGATGTTTTCACATTTATCTGCTGAAAGTGGAAAATTTCTCTGAGCTCATTGAACGTCAAATTTGAAGGGGCATGGCCTATGAGCATGATTTGTGACATCACAAATACTTTATAAGTCAGTCCTGGTTCAGTTTGCAACTTGTACAAGTGTGATGTAGAAACCTGAACAGACACTGAGAATGGACTTTACAGCGGAGACATCTTGTGTCCAGCAAGAAAACTTTATGAGGTAGAAGAAGCAGTAGAGGCCATTTTAAGGATTTAAATTTGTTACAGAAAAAACATATCAGACACACATTATTGTTTGCATGTCTTAATAAATGTCTGGAGGGGATCTTATATTTGATTTATCAATGCAAACTAACTAAATGATGGCCACTATCTTTCTTTATGTCATAGGTGAATGAGACTTTGCTTTTTTTTACTTGGAGATTTACTCTGTATAAAAACTGGAAAGTAATGTAGTTAAATATTACTAATAAATCTATTTATTTTAGGAATAAGAACTTTCCAAGGTTACTATCTCTCTTTGTGACCTAATCTCCAGATATCCTAATAATATTTCTATTTCTCTCAGTCTATAAGGGCGTGGACCTCCACTGTAAGACCAATAACACTGAACACCGCACCAATGAAATCACAGCGTATCAGCTGATTGTGAGGAGAGGTCAGCCCTTCAACCTGACCCTTAAACTGACGCAACCTTTCAAACCTGAGCTTCACCCACTCCTTCTCGCTGCAGTGACAGGTTGGTCTTTCGTTAAATGTATAGTTAAGGTGCTTGAGAACAGATCTTTGAGTCCTGAGACTCTACAATGTTAGTTGTGTCAAAGTATTCTTGATTCTTGGTCTTTTCAAGGGATTTGCTTTACCTGGATGGTTCAGTCAGTGTATTTAGAGTATTGTTACAACCGTAAATGAGTGTCTGACTCCCTCAGTGACTCCTCTCTACAGGAAAACATCCATCCGAGGACCTGGGGACGATGTCACTCTTCAGTGTCCCCAATGCCGTGAAGCGTTCACCAACAGCAAAGGCGGTGTGGAAGGCAGAGCTCAACAGTAGCTCCTCCCTCCTACTGGGTATTGTGAACCTGACTATTACCCCCCCAGCTAACACCCCAGTAGGAGAGTACCTCCTGACTGCGGTACACAAGAATGAGGAATTGTTGCTGACGAAGCTGGTGGTGCTCTTCAACCCCTGGTGCCCCGGTAGGTTGATTATCTGTCTGTCTCTTTATCTTTTGATACATGATCATGGTTATTTACTTTTACTTAAAGGGCCAGTGTGTAGGACTTTGTGGTTTCCATTGGTGTAGTTGTAGATTAGAACCCCTTTACCTTACCCTCCCCTTCTAAGCTCGGGATGGACGATATGGATTTATTTTTATCCAGTACGACAACTTCTCTGCTTCTAATGGCTGATACAGATAAAGATGGATGATTTAATATTCCATAACCCTGATCCAATCAAATCTAACTATATTTTAGTTTTTTAACATAACAAAAACAGCTCTGATTCTTCAACTTCACAAACATACTTTGGCTTTCATAGAACATAAAGCCTATCAAACGTTTTGCAAGATTAAATAATTTATCGGCTATAATTAAAATAATACATACCTGTATTAATATACATTTCCCCTTATCGACCAATAATTTATGCCCAATGATTATCGTGCAGGCCCTATATAGAGTCAGTGTTTGGTTTGTTGTTCTGGGCTACTGTAGAAACATGGCAGCTCAACATGGCGGGCTTCGTAGAAGAGGACCCGCTCTTTAACGACACATCAGTTCTTATTTTCAGGTGAAAAAAAAACACAGATGAGTATTATACTCTATTTCTGCCTATAGATCCTTATAAATGTTACATACTGGGCCAAAAAAGATTTTAGATGCAGGACTCTGCATGTCTGTCTGTCTGTCTGTCTGTCTGCCTGTCTGCCTGTCTGCATTAATTTACTCTCTCTGTAGATGACTGGGTGTTTCTGTCGGACGAGGAGCAGAGACAGGAGTATGTGATGAATGAACAAGGAATCATATACAAAGGAAGTGGAAACTACATCTCCTCTATGAGCTGGGACTTTGGACAGGTACGTACACACACACACACACACACACACACACAACCTGATATACAGTCAGCACAGTTGAAATAATTGTCTCTTTTAGTTTCTGGCTCTCTTGTACACATTTTAGTATTTATTAATGTTTGTTTCTTTATTTATAATTATTATTTTGTGATATTTTTTTGTACTCTTTTTCACACTACATTGCCCTATGCTGCTGTGTCAATCTTGAATTTCTCCTAAGGGGGATCAATAAAGGAACATCTTATCTTATCTTATCTTAAATAAGTCAAATTGTCCCTCTGGGATATTAAGGCTTTACTCTACACTACTATTACTACTACTTTATCTTTTGATACATGATCATGGTTATTTACTTTTACTTACTGGGTAATCCATAAGGATGTTAATCTTATAAGAAATGTAATACCTAATTTTAAAATTGAATCACTACTTCTTAATGTTAAAATTTAAATGATCCTACATTTATAGTGCTGAAACATTTTTAATGTTTGAATTTTCTATCTGACTTTGTGAATGCCAATATATATATATATATATATATATAGATGTTACACATGTCAAAGAGCGCAATTGAGATTGAACTTTCTTTGGATCTAGAATATAATATTCATAGGTAGCCTATGTTTTCATTAGTATATAATCACCTGAAAATAAGTTTTTTTAGCCATAGACGCAATGTTGAACCACCATGTTTCTATAGTAGCCCAGAACGGACAAACCAAACAGTGGCCACCGTAGTTTCTCCTACACCCTTCACAGCCTGTTCTCATTCCCAGGTCGTCAAATACAGATGTGAGTGGTGTTCAGTTAGTTGCAATCTGCACCATCACCACTAGATGCCACTGAATCCTACACACTGGTCCTCTAAGTATTTAGTCATGGTGAAATTACAATTACATATTCAGTTGCTTTAAATGAAAAATTTAATTTAAAATCTTCATGGCCATTATTTGCTTCAAAAGAGATTTAACTTACTATCATCCAGGACTTGCAGTTCCATGTATGAATACAGCTGCTGCTCAAATATACTGCGAACAGCAGACAATGCTCTTTTAAAGGTTAAAAATTATCCCCATCTCCAGTTAAACACCACTGTACTGCCATGAATAAAAAACTGTTTAAGAGAAACCTTTCCTGTCTCCTTCTGTACAGTTTGAAGACAGCATGGTGGACATTTGTATGAGGATATTGGACCTCAACCCCAAACACTTTAAGGACCCAGCTGATGATACTTCTGCTCGCTGTAACCCCATCTACGTCGGCCGTGTGGTCAGCGCCATGGTAGGACACACTCTGTGCTTTAAAGATACATTAAATATTGGCAGTTGGTGGCGGTAGTGTTTTGTAAATGTTTGCAATGTGCCAATAAAGTGACGTAGAAGAAGAACGCTGATGTAGATGATGTAGTTTTCAAACTAAAAAAATAAAAAAGGTTTTTGGAGAGAAAAATTCCAAATCTGACAGAATAAAGTCGTAATTTCCTATTTCAACATTATGAGATTGAGAATTTCCTTGTTTGTCTGTTTTCTTTCAGATCAACAGTGAAGATGACTATGGTGTCGTGGCGGGACGATGGGGAGGTCCATATTGGGGTGGGGTCGCACCCTCTCACTGGAATGGCAGTCACGCCATCCTTAAGCAGTGGTTACAAACCGGCTGCCAGTCGGTCAAGTACGGGCAGTGCTGGGTGTTCGCCGGTGTGATGTGTTCAGGTACAGCAACATTGTAAAGATATAATGGGTCAATAATCACAAACTTGACAGACACATTTTTTTATACTTGATTAGTTGTTTTATTGAGCCATTTATTAACCTATTACCACCCACTGTTCCACAAGCAGGATGCACAGACTGCTATTGATCAGTCAGGAGGAGGCAGTAACAGACATATTAAGTCTTTAATTCCATCTAAACTGTGGTTTACATAAAATGTCATTTGGCCTGTAACAAGCTGTGGATGTGACGGGATGGTCTTTTAGTTTCTGGCTCTCTTGTACACCTTTTAGTATTTATTACTGTTCTTTTCTTTATCTATAATTAAAAATAGGTAAATAGGTCAAATTGTCCCTCTGGGATTTTAAAACTTTACTCTACAATACTATGAAACTTCCCATGAATATTGTATCTATCATTAGATTATACTCAAAACACTAGGCTGCAGACCTGGGTGTTACAGGGTTTAAGACCTTGGCCACTTCTCAGTTTTATATGATTGTAA